GGGCAGCTTTCTGTGCCACTCCCCAGCCCTTCCTCCAGCCCCTGTGCAGGGCACGGCGCTGGAGTTTCCCAGGTGCTGCATTGCATCCATGTATTGCTGTAGTAACCGCTTGGTTTTCCTGGGTTTTTCATTTGCAGCTCAGCTCTGGCTTTTAGATTTAAAAAGCATAAGGCATGGGTTTTGTGCGATGCTGAAGCCCTCTGCTCCTGCCTTTGGAAGGAAGGCTTAGCAGGGAAGGAGCATTTTAATTTAAATTAAGGGAGCATTACCCACGCATTGCATATTCTCCAGAAATGCCAGCCATACTCCTTGATGCTATATTATTTTTTTCCCCTGATTGACTTTATTCAAGCTAGAAGGTGGAGCTGAGCTGCTCATGCACCACAGCAAGGCCAGCAGAGGCACCGGTATGGCCGTACCTGGTGTTCTGGGTGTGGAGCTCATGCCAGGGCTGGAGAGGTGGCCCCATCCCTCCCCACAGAGCATTTCTGAATTCGGTGGGGATGGAGCTTCACCCCGCAGGGATCCCCATCTTGGTGCTCAGACACAGCGTCTGTCCCTGCCCTTGAACACTTGGGTGTAGCCATGGGGTCTACTCAACCGCACCCCCCACCCCCAAATGACTTGAATTCTTCAAAGTGAGGCAGGTTTGTAGTTAACAAGTCATGGCAAATTTCCACACGAAATAAGCCCAGCACCCACAGTCACGGTCACCTGTTTCATCCTGATGAAACCGGAGGTGCTGAGCCCTGACCGACAGTGTGGAGATCCCTGACCGACCTCATGGAGCACACGGCAACCAAAAGTTAAGTTTAAAAGCAAGGACTTCAAAGTGACATTTGGCTGTATGTCTTCAAAAGGAGACATACAAGGGGGAAGGGAGTTAAATCCTAACAAAGGCACCTTGATAGGAAGAAAATGTTCTTGCTTTCTCCGTTTAAAAAAAAACACCAAACAACACCCAAAAAAGCAACATTTGCAGTGGAGCATGTGCTGCCCTTGGCATTTTCCCTTGGGATCTGATGGACACAGAGACTCCAAACAGGCACAGGGTCCCATCGTGGTGCATGTATCACAGCCCCATCGCAGCTCTGGGCCTGTGGTCCACTGCCCCATTGCCCCCTTGGCACAGCCAGGAAACCTCCCCGAAACTGTTAATGTCACCAGCGTTGTCTTAGCTGGGGGTTAGTTCTGATTAAGAAATGGGCCTTGATATTTTGGAAACAGAAATCAGAAAAATTAGGGTTTGGGTTTTTAAAATTTAACTAAAAGGGAAATAAAAAGGATTGTATGTTTTAGGGTGGCCCAAAGATTTCTCACAGGCTTGGTGCTGCACCGATACATTTAACAACAGGCTCGTAAATCACAGGTAACTGGAATGAAAGCGATGCTGTACCCGCACCTTGACTCCACCGTGGCCGAACGCGCAAGCAATTGCCTTTAATTGCCTCTGTCACTTTTAACCTGCGTTTTGCGTGTGCCAAATGAACAATCATCGAACCAGGGAGAATTTCGCCAAGCATCAAGCCAAAGCCGAGGCTCGCATTAATTAAAATGGGGTTAATTATAATAACTCTAGTACAATAGGGATAGTATAATAGGACTAATTAGAGTGGTGCTAATAATGATGGTTCAAGCCACAGCAGCCACTGTACAAAACCTGCACCCAAGTTCTTCAAAGGTTTCCTTGGACTTGTACCCCACTCAACTCAGGGACAATCCAACATCTAAAAGCCGCTGCAAAGCTTTGACTGCATTTTCCCAAGCATCCAGGCTTGCGTCGCACCGACCATATGTCTGCCTCTGCCTGCTAGCAGATTGCACCAAATATTTTCCTTTTTTATTGTGGCTGAGCAAACAAACACCATCTGTGGGGCTCGTCCAGGGAAATCCTGGCCCCCTCCGCACCAACGGGAAGGCAGGCAAGCGTGTCTGTGGGGCCTGACGATTCTGCCATCCATACCCTGAGAAGAGAGCTTTTCTCCGCTCCCCATCTCTGCCCATCCGCCGAGCTGAGTTAGGACCTGGCATTTTGCAAACAGATTTAAAAGTCAGATTTTATTACAGCAGTGCTGAGTCCCATCAAAGGAGACTGCCTACCCATGACCCAGGCTTGTGGGACTGCCTTGGGGTGCTGGCAGGTGAAAGAGGGCAAGAAGGGGGTTTTTTTCAGTTGGCTCTATCCACACAGGTATTTCACAGATGTATCTGCGCTGCCGGGGGCTTTGAGATTTTTCCAGCCATGCTCGAATCCCTGGCCCAGGTCTGATGGTGACTTTTGGCCCTGCTTGACCTGCTGAGAGGCAGGGGGCTAGGTGGGTGGCTGATAGCGGGTGCAAATTATTCCCTGTTCAAACCTTTATTCCTTTGGAAGGTAAAACTCCTGGGGGGGGGACGACACGACACTGTGTGGTATGGAGGGTCTGTGCTATTCATTCATACACCCCAGCACAAGCGGGGAGCCCTGGGAGCAGGGGAGTATCAGCAGCTTCTGAAGCAAAGGTGCGCACGTAGTCCCCAGCTGCATCGCTGTGCGCAGGGCTTCCTCCTGCTCTGTTTTTCCCTGTCACTTGCCTTTCTGTCAGAAACCCCTCTTCTCTCTGTTCTGGAAAAAACAGAATGGTAATGTCAATTTTGTAAAATCCCCCACAGTTTTGACCCAGCCAGGGATTCACAGAAAGCTCTCACTGAGCGAAGGGCCTCATGGATGCAGGTGTAAATTACCTGTCACCTCAGTTGCTTTTCCGCTCGTGCTTCTGCAGCGCTGGGTCCAGAGCATGTGTTCTGACCAAATCTTTTGTACAACTGCCCTTTGGATTTAGCAATTTGCATGGTGAAAGCAGAACCGATGAACCACAGGCTTTTCTGCTGCTGCCTTTAATTAAAAATGCCATGTCTAACACCAGCAGATGTTCCTGCTATCGAGACTTGACTAATAATTTAATGCTGTGTAATGCAATGCTGACTGTGCTGCTTAGTCCGAAAGCGTGATAGACTTTTTTTAATTTATTATTATTATTTCCTTTTGGGGATCAAATCCCTCAATATTTGAAATCTTAAAACTTGTTAGTCTAATGGCCTTAACCAATTACTGCTCCGAGTGATCTTAGCAGCCCCACGTCTTTCAAGTTGGTGCTGCAGCCCACGATGCCTCTGAGACCATGGTGGGCTCGCAGGGCTTTGGGCATGCAGCAAAATTGGCCCCAGAGGGGCTGCCCGAGGAGCAAACTAAGCCTGTTAAAGGCTTTGATTCAGACATTTGGGGAAAGAGGGAATTTGAAGCATGAGGCAGCTCCTCCTCCCAGTTTTTTTTTCAGTTTTCTGCTTAAGTGGATCCATCCTGTCTCTCGCTGTGGGCACTGAGCATGTAGGAGCTGAGCACCCTTTCCTGTCAGGACGCATTGGTTTCGGGATGTGCCCGGTACTTGAGTGGACAAGAGGAGAGGGACCCCCTCCTCGCAGACGCTTTGGCTCTTTTAACCCCTGGGAAAACAGCTGACTTGTGAGACTTGAGGGAACTGCCTCCCTCTGCACGCTCCTTGATGTTACACGATGAATCACATAATAATTGTATATTTATTGAAACACAGCAGGGGAGCTTTGCTAATGAATAAAATATGAGGTACCGGTGTATTTACATAAAAGGGTCTTTACCAGATGGGCAACACTTTGAAATGAAGCAGGAGGTAGACAAGGATTTTTTACCTTCCTCGTCAGCCGGGAAGCCCCGTGCCATCCTTCAGCGCGGGTTTTGCTCTGAAACCCTGCATTGTTTGAAAATCACCTTATCAGTTTAGCATGGCAAAGATGATCGTTGCCTCGGTGGGGTATGGAGCGGCTGATTAACGCATGTACCGAGTGTGACTGTCACACTATATCACACCACTGCTGAAACCGTTTTACTGGGTTTCTGTCATGCAACAAATTTATTTTAAAGTGTGTGGGCCTTATACTGCCTGGAATGGTTTTACTTGTAGTTTAAATACTGCATAAACCAAATTTAGAGATATATTTCTCGCTTCCCTCTGTTCTCTGCATCATTTTTTTTGCTTCTGACTGTCCAATTGGTTGCAGTAATTCACTGCTGAGGAAGACGTTTCTTAGATTTCCAAGAGCACCAACTCCTTAACCTTTATAAAATTAGGGAGAATGAATCACTCGTGACTTTTACATCTTTCTCAAACACAAGTATTTGTTAGATGCTGGCTGCCCAGAGCAGCGCTTTGCCTCAGTTTAACTTAGTTGTAAATGTTTGTAAATTTGCACATAATGTCTCCACACAATGGAGACTACACGTGGATTTATTGAGAGGGACACTAAACATATTTCAGCCAGAGGAAAGGAAGACGAGGTACTTATCTGTTTTATTGTCCTATACAGTATATATCGGCATCTCATATTTTGTGAACATAAATGCCAGCTTGACTCAAGAGATCTATGGATCAAGTGTTGTTTGTAACCTGCGCTGAATGCTTCAAATTGTGTTAAAGTTTCATCTCAGCAGCAAAACCTTTTGCCATCTTCCAGTAACCTTGCCGCACTGGGAGACGCCAGGGGCTGTTTTTTTGGAACATAGGACAAGCGCACAATGGCCACGTAAGAGACAGTTGGACATTAAGGTTGCATCTAGCAACTGTTCACGTTTAAGGGACAAATGACTGTTTTAGCTTATTTGACAGTTTATCCTGGTTTCGGCGGTGTGAGGGAGTAGGTCCCTGTCCCAGCTCCATCCCCTGCAGCCCAAGGAAAGGAGTGAGGATGCCCTGTCCAGCTGTGTCCCTTGCTGTCATCCCTCTCCTGCAACCAGTTGTTTTGGTGCATGCACACAGCATGGGAAGAGACGCCATGGGATGGGCTGGTCCATGACCTCACTGGGCTTGGGAACCAGCTCCTCACTGGGCAGGACAGTGCCTGGGACAGCTCTCCCTGCTCCCTTCCTTCCCCAAGATAGGCAAGGAAAACGCTGAAGCAGCTCACCACAGTCAGCTCCTGACAGAAACATGGTGGATCCTGCCTGCCGCCCAGGAGCATCTCACGCCTACGTGTGTCTCTTAACAAGGTACGGTTTGCATTTGGTTTTTACTTCCACACTCACCTCTGAGGCTGTTGCTTCTTTCCCCAGAGCTGCTTCCCTCTGCAGCAGAGGGCTTGCCGATCCCCACCACCGTGGACGACAGGCCGTTAGCAAAGGGGACACCGCTCTGTGTTATTAACGCAGCGGGGGGTTTCCTGAGCACCAGAAAACAACAGGCTATTACAGAGATACAACCGCACTTTTCACAGCTGGATCCAAGCACACAGGTGCAGCTGCTGTGCTGTCAATGACAACAAACAGCTCTCCTTTCTGCGCCAGTGAAACCGAGACCTGTGTGGATGGGGTGTGTGGATGGGGATGACTACATCCATCCCTCTTCCTCAGGGCTCAGGCCCCGATGCTGCAAGGACAGAGTCACCTGCAAAGAACAGGCTGTTGTTTAACCCTTCGGACTCTCCAAATACCTCCACAGTCTTCTTTCTCATGGATAAAGATCAAGAGTTATCATGAAGACAGAGAAAGCCAAGATGGTGTTTGCTGGGGTCAAGCAGGTTAGGACATGCGACAACACTGATGTAATAAAGGCTGAATATGCCACCATTCAAATCAGTGTGACGGTGTTTCACCCTGTGACACGTGAGACATCTGCTTGCCCCAGATGACAGTACCAAATTTCTCGGATCAAGGGAGCTGAGAGATTTCACAATTCCCCATCCTGTGTGGTGCTGACCTTCCATAAATAAAGAAAAAAAAATAAAAATCCCAATTTAAATCATCCCAGGTGTTCAAGAGCTACAGAGGGAATGACCTACCGAAGCAGAGGAGTGTGAAACCTGAAAACTGAAGATTTTCCTTCTTGGAAGACATGGATAACTTATTAAGCAACGTTTTCAGCCCCGATTTAACACTTATCTGAGTAGAAGTCCTTTTCTCTAGATGAAGTAAGAGCTGTGGAAAATGCCCATGTTGCCACTAGTGGTGAAAACAGTCCCTCCTGTCAGGCTGCCATCGCTCAGCTGAGCAGCACCAACAGCTCAGTGCTTTTACTTCACCCAGGGAGCAGGGATGAGGGGAAACCATCCACCTCCAGGAAGCAAACGGAGGGAGACCTGGGACAAGAAATGCCGCCAAAATTTCAGATGGGCTGTTGGGTCGCCGCTCTGATGGCTGTCCGTTATGACAGTCGCCAACCAAATTTTGCGGCTTTGCGCCACCACGTCCTTTTATGATGAAGTTCCCTCAAAGAATAACTCGCTCGCTTTAATCATGTTTGCTCCGAGATTTATGGCTTGATGCTTATTCACCGGCGGAGCTTCTCGATGCGAAATGTCAGTAAGCCTGTTATAAATCGCTCCTG